AGACCTGTCAACTTGTAGAATATGGTATCCCCTGCGACGCGTTGTTCAAGGAGGCCTGCTCTATGGCAAATCTCGAGCTCGTTATTGTGTGCGTCAGCTGCGCCCGACACTGAAATTTCTGGCTCTCCACCATCGCCGCATACAAGCTGCTCAAGATAAGACCACATACTCTCAGAGAACTCCGAGACAGCCATGGGTGTAACCTTAAAGAAAGTACAATCCCAGCGGTAGCTTAAGGCCATCATGCGCACTCCATGCCAAAACTTCCCGGGCTGATGCAAGAGGCACAGAGTCAGGTTGCAAGACCAAAGGCTGAGATGGGATTGCGAAGTCCGATTCCGTGGGGAGCATGATGTTCATGGGCGCAGAGGATACCAGCAACGTAGTGGATTCATCATGAGATTGGGCGTCACCACTGATCAGTCGATGCACCCCAACCCCGACGTCGGATCGAGTCAGCTCACCGGGGACAGCCCTCTTGTTCAAGTAAGGGCACTTCGAGATGACTCCGAAAACAAGAGAGCAAGCTTCTTCGCCATGCAAGAACTTATCGAAGTCCGCCTCGATGTTCACAGGAGCCACCGCAACATCGGTATCCCAAGCTTCAGGCACGGGTTCCATCGCGACCTGCGTGGGAGTAAGGATTGCCATCAATGTCTTCAAGCACCCTAATGGAGCGCTCACCGAGAAGAACGTCCGCGACAGATCTTCATCAGACATCTCACGAATATACACAAGAAAGTGTGAGACTGCGGCTGCATGTCTGATACCCTCGTGGAGACACTAGCAAGAGCTTCACTGAGATTGGGAGCCAAATCGAATCTTTGTCCCACCCAATGCCCCGGGGTACTTTCCAGACCCTTCCCCCCCTGAAAATTGGTGCAACAATGAGCTAAATATTCAACCTGGTCCCAACCCCATGTGGAGCCCTTTGTGAGAGTCTCCGAACGGTCCGAACCTCGTACGTGCGGTCCATAGCAGGTAGTAAAGCATACCCAGGAAGATGTGCCAGCGCATCTCCACCGCCGCCAGCACCGCCCCCTTAACGGATTCGACCTTACCCCCATAAACGCTAACTCTATCAACCAAATCAGCTCAAGAAGAATTCACACATGATGCCAAGGGCATCGGAACCTTTCTTGAGCTGGCTTGGGTGACAGTGGTAAGCCTTGATGGGTGCCAGGTTGAATCCGTCCACCGCCGTCGCCATCGTCATCGTCGCCTCCAGGAGGCTCTGGATGTCCGCCGGCATCTCCGTCTTCAGCTCCACCACCACCACCTGATGCAGGCGGCTCATCGCCAGGGCCCCCAGCGCCATGGGCATCTCCAAGAGCAGGCGGTGGATCACCGCGATCGTCTGGGCCGTCTCCTTCGTTTTTTACACTCACAGCTTGCCGATACTTCGACCAAGGGTCAGAACGATACACAATCTTTCGGTAAATCGCATCCCAATTTCCTTTGGCAACCGTCGTCCCAGGATGCAGGCTCAGACCGAGTGCTCTCACCATCATATTTGGATTGCTGCCTGACTGAAGGCGTCTTGCCAGGTTGTCCAAGACTTCCTTACCATCAGGGCCGTTCATCATGTCCTCATATCTGCTGAAACGAAGAGCTAAACTGTCATACGCTTCGCTGCGATTTCTTCTTCCTGACGTCTTGATGTTTACTATGGCGTGCCCGCCTTCGATTCTGCGCTCAGAGCAAGATCCAAATTTTAATGATGCCATGAAGATCTGCAAGTTCCTCAAGTTATCCAGGCCAACGCCGGCGATGAACTGCATCGCTTCGCTCCGCAAAGGCTCAGCCTTCAGTTCCTGAATGCGTGGATGAGCGCATGATGAAGCCAGGCATTGATTCAAAGTCCTGCACTGGACGGACATGTCATGGTGGGCACACGCGAATAAGAGGCATGGAGGCTCTGTGTACGAGCAGAGTTTGAGAGAAAATTGGAACGCTGAGAAAGCCCTGCCTCTCTCGAAACACCGCATCAGCATCCCCTTGGACTGCGCCCCCAAATCCCTCGGTAATTCTCGAATCAAGGTAATGACTGCCAAACGGCAAAGGCTTTTGAGATTCACGAAGAAGTCGCCGGCCGCCAGTTCGCAAAGGCGCATGCCCCTCAGAGGGCAATTCTTCCACCGATTCAAAAGATCCTTGTCGAATAGATCCTCTGTCCTCGCAGCCGCTCGCAACAAATGACCATGGCATGGGCAAGCCTCCGCCCATGTGATAGAGTCGCGGATCAGTTCGTACAGGCGGTCGAGGACGACCAACTTGCCCCACCACTCATCTGAGTTGACGCACTTGTCAAGCTCGGAGATGTCCTTGCTCTCCTTCGGCTTATCCTTTCGGTCTCCGCGTCGAGCCACGGCCATAAATCGATCGACATTCCAACAAGATCTGAGGGCATCTCGTAGTTCCAAGACCTGTTTGCAACAGAACGCGACTGTCCCCCAGCGTTCCTTGTAGACTGTGCCTTTGAATTTCTTGATGTCGTCCTTGAAAGCGCTTGATGCTGGCCCCGAAAAGCAACTCTCAACAATCCTTGATTGCGTGTGCTCGTGTTGCAGAGATCGGGCGACCGCCGCGAGACCGCTGACAGCCTCGTCGAGCTCGGGGCAGCAATTTGCAAGATCATTACCAAAATTGTGAATGATATGCAGTAGCCCGGGCGCACTGATTGATCTCTGCATGCTGAGTAGTGTTTCTGGACCTTCGCACTGCTGATCAGCATGGAGGCCCGGAGCTGACAACTCGTCCGAGGGGAACATCCACGGGAACAGGTCTACAGCCTTCATCGGCATCACAGTGGACAAGCTGAATTCGACCCCAAAGTCTGACGTACCAACAGACAGATCATCAAGGAACCGTTTGAACGTGCTCATGGTTTTGCCTGAAACCAACCACATTGCATAAGCTACTGCAAAGAACTTGTATGACAGGGTTGTGCCTCCTGAGCTCAGGGTAATCGGAGGGCAGTGATCTTGTATAAATGCATGTTTCAACTCGGTCATCCAGGTTAATTCTTCATTGTTTATAGTTTCGTCGTCGATGAGATCGAGGGGCGTGGCTTGGCGACATCGGATCAAGTACTGAGCGGTTGTGAACATCTCAAAAGCTTTGAACTTAGGGAGGGTTTTGACATGGACCAGCTGGAAATCTCGCCCACGCTGCATTGACGAGTCAGCCATGAAAAAACGAATGCACCCTTTATCACCTGAGAGCTCCGCATCAAGGTCCCTGCCATACAACAAGAGCGCCCCGTCGATAAGCATCCTCCAGCGGGACACCGTCCTTTCACTGAGCTTGAACTTTGAATTCGTATTCACGTACTGCTTCACACACTCCAGCAATGCAGGCGGCAACGCCAGACTGATTGCATACATCAGGGATGTGTGTATCTTACCAGATTCCTTCAGCAAATTGCATAGCATGAAGGCTTTGATCATGTAGAGTGTTCTGCTCAGAGGAGTCCGCCCTCCAACTTCAATGCCAATGCCGCCGCGCTTGCAGCCCACCATCTGCCTATGAACTTCTGCGGGGCTGAGCTGCACTGCAACATGGTTCAACAGAAGGATTGACTCTTCAAGTGATTTGTATTCTTCCTCGTCCATCTCGCTGGCAGGATCTAGAGTTCGGGCCGCGGCCCTGAGTTGGTCGGATATTCTTCGAAGGATCCCAGGTGTCAACACGACATCGCCGTCGCCAGCAAATGGGCGCACCTCCGCCGGAGGAGGAAGTGGCTCCAATTCTAACAAATCCAACCGAACTCGCAAATATTTCACGCCCTTCGTGACCGTGTCATGTGGGAGCAAGAAATCACTGCACGCCTTCTTTGAACATAAAGCTGCCAACGGCGATGGCAAGCGCACCGTGATCTGAGGACACTCGTACGGCCAATCCGCACCAAGTTTCTCGAACAACATGTCAGGTTGTCCCGCTTCCATTTGACATACACTTCCACGATAAACCCTGTCGCTTAATTGTTGAATCACCTCGAGGTTCTCCAGAGGACAAATGTGTACAACTTGGAATCGCAACAACTGCACCATCGGGTTGAAACTTCTCCAAAGATGGAACTGCTCCTTTAGAAACCCATCAAGCACGGTCATGTGAGTCACTTCTCCCATATATTTTAATCACAGCTGCCCCGTATACTCTAGATTGCATGCAATTTGCAAGTCCTCCGCATTGTTCCAATGCTGATGTTATCAAAGGCGTGCTTGTAAGTTTTGAAAGATGTACGTACTGTCGCTTTGGACCATACCTGAAAGTGTCTTGTGCGGAGGATAGCCAGCAGAGAATTGCATCATCCATCTGTTCGCCAAAATGGCTGCGGATTGCAACATGTCGCGTGTATTCCAATTACACTTTCAAGAGCCATGCTTCCAAGCTGACACCCAAGACCGCCCGCCTGCAGGCTCCAATCCCAAAAGAATCCGAAGGACCCTCGAAGACGACCGTCAGAGCACCAGGGGGCCAATATGTCAAGCCGTCCAGATGGGTTCAACATGGAGTATGAGAAGAGGATAAGAACGTCGCCGAAGACAATGACGATAATGATTCCGTTGAGGATGAAACAGAAGAGGAGTAGGAGGTGGAGGAGGCAGAACAGGGTATACTAATGCAAGAAGATAAGCTTTTTGTTTGCGGCCTGGACGGCCAATGATCCATGCATTGTTTTTCTGCTGGAGGTCGATTGTTCCCCCTTCGGGCAAAACCCCGAGCCTTGAATTCACGATTTGCTATGCGGGGGGGGGGTAGGTCATCCTTGGCAGTCTCGCTTAAACAACAATATGGTTGGGGTGAAACCAGGCCATCCCCCCATCGAATATAATTGGATATGTTTTGGCTGGTTATCTGGTTTGGGACTTCAAATGGCAAGAACTACGAATGATCAGCCCAACCCGTGCAGTGCACTCGCAGCGTCACGGAAAAAGTGCAAACAACATCATGGGGGCCCCCAGGGAGGTTCTACCGCCTTTTGTGAAACCTAGCAGGTCTGACTGGGAGTTTGGTTGGACGCCGATGAAGCTGGCATGGTGCTGCGGCCGCGACAGGAACTTGTCCTCCTGCCCGCTCGTGGGCACCTCCGCGCCGTTCGACTGCGCCGCTGGGCTGTCGAACTGGGAGAGGGGCTGGTCCACCTGGAAGCAGGAGTGGTGCTGCCGGAACCAGGCCGTCGCGTGCTCCTACAGCTGCGAGGCGTCCGAGGAGGAGCAGGAGTCATGGACGTCCGCGAAGCGCGAGTGGTGCTGCAAGCAATGGGGTCGCGGCTGCGAACGCCGGCAGCCCGACGCCGGCACGACTTGCGACGGCGGCCTCAACTTCTCGGACGTGGCCTACTCGAACCTGGGAGACCAGGGGCCGGACTTCGGCTTCGAGCCCGCCGTCCGGTACAGGAATGTCTGCGAGGTGAACAGCCAGCCCATTGACTTGGTGCTCCGTGCAGCGGGCGAGTACGAGCCCGCCCTGGCGCGCCACAACGGCCACAATGGGCTCGTGGGCAGGATCAATATCAAGTACGGCACAAGTGTCGACTTGATCTTCGCTTTCATGGAAGCTGGTGGGGACGTGCCCGTTCAGGTGCCCCGCGTCTTCTTCACACTGCTCGACATTGACCGCAGCGAGGTGGAGATGGACGCGGAGTCGGTGTTGATCAAGAATTTCTCGTTGTTCTACCTCGACAACGACACCACGGTGCACTACCAGCCCGTCGGCCCGGGCGGCGCCAGGTTCAGCTCGACCAGGATGGGAGACCTGACGGACAACCCGTCGAACATGTCCAACTTGTCCGCGGCGCAGCGGAGGAAGGCGGTGACGCTCCTCTTCCTGAACACGTCGTCGTTCCCCGTGAGTTTCGAGGCGTCCGGGAAGAAGAAGGCTCAGGGCCGGGTCTTTATGTTCGGCGGGAAGCGTGACCTCAGCGCCTCGCACGGCACGCTGGTCGGCCCCTGGGGCCCCGGCTGGAGCGACTCGCCAGATCGCGCGGCCACGGCCGATGGAGGCCAGAAGCCGGAACGCCCTGCACAGGATGCCGGGGCCGCGCGGCTGACCTGCAGGCTGGACTGCTCCGTCGACGGCGCTGCGCGGCCTGTCAAGCTGCACGTGGGCCGCGCCGGGGACTCCTTTGTGCCGAGGCACGCGGCAACTACCGACTTGGATCGCGAGGCGTGCGCGTCGGCGTGCTTGGCCACCCCGGGCTGCGACGGCGTCGCCTATGGCAACGGCACTTGCTACGGAGTATGGGATGTGCGCACCAGCGAGTGCAAGCGAGGCGACATCGGCGACTACCAGACACAGTTTTTGACCGGGCGGCCGTGGGGCAGGTGCGCGCTGGTCGCCGACGCGCACCTGGTGACCTTCGACCGCATGTACGGGCCGGACCTGGCCGAGTACGAGCCAGCGGATTACCATTTGGTGAGGTCAGACCACCTGGAAGTCCAGGCTCGGCTTGGCCGCACTGCGGCCTCTCCCGAGGCGAGCGCCATCGTTGGCATCGCGGTGACTGGAGCGCTGCTCGGCGGCCGCGCCCTGGTGGCCGAGTACCTCGGCCCAGCCCTGGGGCGCCGCGGCTTCCGCGTCACGTGGGACGGCGAGGAGATCCTGGCCGAGTACCCGTCCAGGTACCGGGCCGCGGACGGCGTCCTGTCGGCGAGGCACTGGCGAGGAGACCCCGCGTGGAGGCACTGGCAGGCGCGGAACATCCTGAGCAACTATAGCGATTCTCTGCCGTCTTACTTCTTCGAGTTCCCCCCGCATTTGGAAGTCCACATGCTGCTGGGCCCCGACAGCTGCGGCGTGATCCTGGCGATGCAGAAGCTAGGGGTGGGCCAGGAAGGGCTGTGCGGCAATTTCAACTGCGACGGGATCGACGATGCCTACATGCTCATCGAGGACCGTGGTCGCGTGGCCCCAGTGCAGACAGGCGAGAGCCTCTTTCGTTCGGTTGGCGCTGGTCAAGACAATGCGGAGTTCAAGCACCAGCAGCGTCAGCGTCGTAAGCAATTGTTTGATGATGCCAGAGAGGCATGCGCTGCCGACTTGCTGTGGGAGGCGAAGCAGGCGTGCATTGAGGCGCATCCCAAGTCGGGTCTGCAGGGCAGCTGCGTTGCGGAGGCGTGTGCCGCGAATTCTACCGGGTTGCTCGAGATGCAGGCAGCTATCCAGAGGCTGGAGCCCGGGCTGCTGGCGCCGAGGTAGCGCGCTACGTGCGGCCCTGCCGCCTGTCGGGGAGCGCGGGGTTTGGGCACGTCGGGGAGCGGTTGGACACTGTGTCGCACGCTGTTTGTTAATGTTCGCCGTGCATCTGCAAGGCAGCGGTAGCGCTCGTGCGGACAAAGACGTCCGCATGGAGCGCGCGTCCTTTGCATTATTTGCCTACCTGTCCGCGAGTCGCGCTATCAGTTGCCAGACTCGTAAGAGAAGTGACAGCAGCCAGCCCGACGTCGTGCACTTGCAACCGAAAAAAAAAACTGATCCTTTTCCGACTGCCTTATACTATGCGCGGCTTCGGTCGTCAGCGCTGCTGGGGGCCTCTCCCTCGGTGCACCCCCGTTGACATAGAGCTGCCCTCCTCGTCTTCCCCCTGCTCCTATCCCTCACACTCCTTCCTCTTCCTACTCGTGATGGTGGTTCCTGCTTTCCTGCCCGTGATCCGCCTCCGCTTCCTGGGCAGGCCTTGGCAGGGACTGTGTCCTTTGGGTGCGTTTCGCCGCTGCCGGATCTTTCTGACAAGGCCAAGCGCGGGTCAGCCAGCTCAAGCGTGCGGAGGGGAGATTGGAGCCAGACGCTCGGCATCGGCCGCCCCCGGCCGAGAAATCGGTTGCTGGAACCTCCTCTTTTTGTTCTTGGTCCCCCTCCCCCCTTGCCTCCCTCCTCGTTCTCATCTTCTCTCTATTCGCATTCACATCCGTCGTCTCTTCCTCCCCCGTCATCCCTCTCCTCGTTTCCATGTGTCTGCTCCCACGGGAGCGGTGGTTGCTGGCGCCCGAGTGGCAGGAGTGGGTTTATGCTCTCAGCTCCATGTCTCGTGATCGATGCGTTCCCCCGATTTGAGGCCTCATCACTCCTCCTCCCCCCGCTCCTCGCGCGCCTCGCTCCTCGCTCCCTCCTCCTCCACCCACGCCTCGCTCCTCGCCTCCCTCCCCGCGCTCGTCGCCTCGCTTCGTCGCCTCGCCCCCCCCCCCCCCTCGCTGTCCCTCTGGGACGAGGCCAGGACGAGGATAAATCCGCTTCAGAGCGTTCTGGAACGGTGCGTTCCGGAGCGTTCTCCAAAGGCCACGGCGCCCGAGACATCCTTCAGAGCCGCCAGATTTCAGAGATTCCCGATCTAGCCTCACCCTTCGGCATCGTTTGGGCGCGTGCAAGTCTCTTCGGCGAGGACCGTCGAGGAGCATCCTGGGTCATCCTGGGGAACACACGCGCGCGAGATCGAGCAATGCACGGGGAGTGGACGTCCGAGCCATGGCGACAGCCGAGCGTACCCTCCTCCTGGCTGCCTCTGCCCCTCCGCCCAGGCCGCGCCGCGCAGCGGGCGGCCCCGCGCCCGCCTCCGCGGCACGGCGCGCCCGCGCCGGGGGCCCGCCGTGCGGCGGTGGGCCGCCCTGCGGGGGGGACGGCGGCGCCCGACCGCGGCGGCCCGCGGCGGCCGGCGCGAGGCGGCGCGGCGGCGCGGCGGCGGGGCGAACAGCCGCCGGCGGGGGGAATCAGAGGCAACGAAGGAGGAGGAGGAGGAGGAGGAGGAAGAGGAGGAGGAGGAGGAGGAGGAGGAGGAGGAAGAGGAGGAGGAGGAGGGGCAGGGGGAGGGGGAGGGGGAGGGGGAGGGGGAGGGGACGGTCGGCGGGGGGTAGGTGTGCTGGGGGATGGGAGGGACTCTCTGATTAAGGGTCAGCCCAAGAATTGCACACTGTCTGGCGCTATTTGTTTCACAGCAGAGAGGACACGTGAGCAATCTGCCCACGGGGGAAGAACCTCAACACTCCTGCTACTTACAGCAACACAGTTTGTCAATTCAAGTGCTCGCCATATTATCAGCAGCACGGCCTGCTTTTTTACATCGCACGAATAAAGGCCCCACAGCCTCAGCTGTCCCAGCACGCGCAAGCCTACATCAGAGGCTGCGCCAGGCCAGCCCGCAGAGCCAGCCGTACCGCTTGCCCATTCTGACCTTGCGGACTGTCAGGGGGACTGGTGGCGGCGGTGATCTGTATGGGGGACGGGACGGATATACCCACGGCTTGGGGTGAACCGTAACCCTTGTGTAGCAATCCTAGGACTGCTTCATCCAGTGCATCGCTATCTTCGCATTTTTGATTTCACTGCACCTTGCCTGCCGAGGCGGCACTACGACTCAGACCCATCGGTCTTAGCTACTTAATGGATCTGGGGTTGGGGGAGCTTATCTACTAAGGCTAGTGCCGACCTCTAGCATTTGGCGGGTGCCTACTCCTTTTACTACTCTCGTCTCGGCCTCATTTTCTTTAAATCTCCGCAGCGCCCGCCATGCACATCGTGCGCCGGTTCGTGTACGCTCTTCCAGATTTTTCGCGCAACCGCTCACGAACGCCACAGGCTAGATTTTTAAGTCGGGCTAGCCAGAAAGGAGGAGGAGGAGGAGGAGGAGGAGGAGGAGGGGAAGGAGGAGGAGGGAGCCCCTTCGCGCGCGCGCGAGGGCGGGTGGCTTGGGGGGGAGGGGGGAGGGAGGGTCGGAGGGGGGACGTGTCCGGATGTTGTGTGCGGAAGGTTTTCGGGTCCCGGGGTGGTCTCCGTCAGCTGCGTCAGGTCGTGCCGGGGTCGTCCTGGACGGCCGTCGCCGAGGCCGAAAACCGTTTCGATCGCGGATGGAAGGGCTCAGAGGGGAGAAATTACCAGATTTTAAATGGATTTTGCATGCATTTTAGTGTGGTTCTTGTCAGTTGCGCCAGGTCGAGAGCGTCCCGGGGGTGCCGGAGTGGTCCCGAGCGGCCGCTGCCGATGCGGAAAACCGTTTTGATCCGAAACCCATGTCGGATCAGGTGCAACGCTAAGGGGGGGACATGTGCTCAAACGGGGGAGCGCATCGACCCTGGCGGCGGTGAAATGCGAAAAGCCGCCGACAGGAGGGGGTCAGACGGAAGCGAAGGTACAGCCGAATTGTTGGTCAAGAAAACTATCAGTTAAGAATTCTGCGTCAGCTCGGGGAACAATCAATCACGTACACATAGAAACTCAAAGGCCCGCGCGGATTCCTCTGATCGGCGCTGGGGCCCCCCTGGCGGCGCCTCGAGCTTGCCCCTGGCGCGCTCCGCGCGACAGGGAGGGCGGTCCAGAGCCGATCAAAGGAATCCGCGCGGACATATTGAGTTTTCTGGTTGATGTCATTGCTTGTCCCCTGGATCTGTTAAGAATTCTGGGCCAGCTCCTGGGCCAGCTCCCTGGAAGCTTCTTAACGCAAGCTTGGGCAAATTTTTGACGCTTCGCCGCTTCGCGTATCCCCACAAGTTTCCGTAGCGTTTTGGCTCAAGGCCGCTCTGGCTCGAACTGGCCTCAGCGGCTGGCCGGCCGTGGCCGGGGGCCTGCCCCTCGGTCCTCGGCCTCCCCGCCCGCGGGGGCGTGTGAGGGGTTCGCCCCCCTCCGCGCCCCCGCTCGCTCGGCCATGGAGTCGCGCTCGGCGCGGCGGCGGCGGCAGCGGCACGCCGCCGCCTGCCGCGCCGCCGCCGCGGCAGGCACGGCCGGCCTGCTGCCGCCGCGGCACGGCGTGGCCCCTGGCCTCTGCGTGGCCGGCGGCGCCGCCGCCGCGGCCGCCGCAGCCGCAGCGGCCGCCGCGGCTGTGGCGGCGGCCGGCCGCGGCGAAACCGACGCGGCCGCCGGCGCTGTGGCGCGCGCCGCCGCTCTGGGGCCGGCCGCGGCGGCCGCGGCCGCCGCGGGTGCGGCGGCCGCCGCCGTGGCCGCTGCGGCCGCTGGCGCCGCCGCTCCCGCTGCCGCTGGCGTCGCGGCCGACGCTGCGGCCGCCGCCGCCGCGGCCGCCTCGGGCGAGCCGCTGGCGGCGGCCGCCGCCGCTGACCTCTTTGGACATTATGCCGTTCCCCAACATCATCTCCTACGTCATCCTGAACAGCTGGTGCGGGAAGGGCAGGCGCTGGCAGTGGCAGATGGCCGTGGCGCTGGTGAGCGAGATCCTGGTCGTGATGCTGGAGCCCCACATCATCACGTACGGCACTGTGAACAGCGCGTGCGAAATGAGCAGGCGTCGGCAGTGGCAGCAGGCAGTGCCGCTGCTGGGCGAGATTGTGGCCGCGAAGCTGGAGCCCACCATCTTCACCAACGGCACTGTGAAGAGCGCGTTCGAGAAGAGAAGGCGGCAGCAGTGACAGCAGGTTTTGGCGCTGCTGGGCGAGATTTTGGCAGCGAAGCTGTAGCCCAACATCATCACCTACGGCACTGTGAAGAGCGCGTGCGTGGAGAGCAGGCGTCAGCAGTGGCAGCAGGATGTGGCGCTGCTGGTCGAGGCCCCGGTCGTGAAGCTGGAGCCCACGTTCATCAACTCTGGTACGGTGAACAGCGCGTGCGAGAAGAGCAGGCGTCGGCAGTGGCAGCAGGCAGTGCCGCTGCTGGGCGAGATTGTGGCCGCGAAGCTGGAGCCCACCATCTTCACCAACGGCACTGTGAAGAGCGCGTGCGAGAAGAGCAGGCGGCAGCAGTGGCAGCAGGTTGTGGCGCTGCTGGGCGAGATTGTGGCAGCGAAGCTGTAGCCCAAAATCATCACCTACGGCACTGTGAAGAGCGCGCGCGTGAAGAGCAGGCGTCAGCAGTGGCAGCAGGATGTGGCGCTGCTGGACAAGATTGTGGCCGTGAAGCTGGAGCCCAACATCATCACGTACGTCACTGTGAACAGCGCGTGCGAGAAGAGCAGTCGTCGGCAGCGGTTGCAGACTGTGGCGCTGCTGAGCGTGATGGCGGTCGTGCAGCTGGAGCCCAACATCATCACCTACCACATCCGGAACAGCTGGTGCGAGAAGGGCGGGCGTCGGCAGCGACAGCAGGCAATGGCGCTGCTGAACGAGATGGTGGTCGTGCAGCTGGAGCCCAACATCACCGCCTACAGCTCCCTGAACAGCTCGTGAGAGAAGAGGGGGCGTTGGCAGCGACAGCAGACAAAGGCGCTGCTGAGCGAGATGCTGTTCGTGCAGCTGGAGCCCAGCATCATCCCCTGCAGCGCCCTGATCAACGAGTGCGAGAAGAGCAGACGTTGGCAGTGACAGCAGGCAACGGCGCTGGTGAGCGAGATGGCAGCAGCAAAGCGGTAGCCCAACGTCATCACTCTGGGCACCCTGACCAGCGTGCGCGAGAAGAGCAGGTGTTCGCTGTGGTCGCTGTCCTCGAGGACCAGTCCGCGGACATCACGGTTGCTGCGCGCAACTTCGCTTTCGCGGAGTTGACGTCCAGCGACCCTGCGGCGGACGTGGCGAACGGCCGCCTTGCCAGGTT